TCGAATTCCGAGGTCCCTAGCCCGAGTAATGAATTTTTATTAAAAATTATTAATCTGAAATATTAAGGATTTAAAGAAACTAACTAATGATTGATTTCATGAGTATCGGGCTCGTATGTTGGTTCCGAAGCCCGGTACAAGTCTGAAATATCATTTAAGACCTACCCGCAAAATTTGGCGTCAATCCGAGTAGTTTAAGGGCGTTTTGCCCGTTGGAGGAAAATTAAGAACTTGAAGTTCATAAGTTTGATCCATTTGGTTTTAGGGGGTGATTCCTAGATTTAGCGTTCTTTCGTGTGTTCTGAAGGTTCGAGTAGGTCCGTCTCGTGATTTCAGACTTGTCGGTATGTTCGGGCGGGGCCCGGGAGCCCCGAGCGTCAAACGGACGAGGCTCGAGTGAAGTGGAAATTTTGAAAAAGGACTGAAGTTTGCTGCTTCTGTCATAACCGCACCTGCGGTTGTTGGACCGCAGGTGCGAGACCGCAGAAGCGGTCCTTTAATCGCAGAAGCGGCCTAGAGCAGGGAGGTCAGGAACCGCAGAAGCGGCTCCCAAGCCGCGAAAGCGGCTCCGCAGGTGCGCCCTTGAGACCGCAGAAGCAGTCCCAGCTCTTTCGCCCCATTCCGCAGATGCGGTCCCCTGACCGCAGATGCGGAAATCACTGAACCAGTGAGGTTCATTAAAGACGGGTTCCAAACCAATTTTTGACACTTTTCACTCCTCCACTGGCGATTTTTGAGCTCTTGAGAGAAAATCTTCACCAAGCATCTTGAGGTAAGTTAGTCCTACCCATTTCTAGTTTATTACTTATGTTTTAGGTAGATTAAACACTAGTATTAAGGTGAAATCATGAGGCTAGAGCAAAAACCTAGGGTTTTAATAAAAGTTAGATTTAACCACGAAATTTGCTATGGAATAAATTAGAAATCGTATATTGTTGATCCTTAGGATGTAGAGAACAACTTCCTTTGAAAAATCTCGGAATCCAGGCACGTGGGCCCGAGGTCGGATTTTAGGAAACTCGTGTTAAGAGTTGAGAAATTGCTTAAATAGCTAGAATTCGATCTTGTGAGTCTATATTGACTAGTTTTTACTTTGTTTAACTAGTTTGGGATCGTTCGGCTCCGAATTGAGGGCTTGGACTCGTTCTTTGAATTGGAAGTGCACTTTGGAGCGAGGTGAGTCTCCTTTCTAACCTTGTTAGAGGGAATTGTCCCCATAGGTATAATAATTGAGTAATTTGCCATTAAATGCGGGGGCTTCGTACGCACTAGGTGACGAGAGTGCGTGCGTAGCTACTATTATGTTAATTGTCCAGGTAGTCTAGGGCCCGTATCATGCTATATTTGCAACTGTCTCCATATTTTCTTGTTAATGTGATCACTTAGAATATGCTAGAGACTTGGAAAAGAAATAAGCGAATGTATACATTTGTTGGACACTTGTATGAAATTACTTGGAAATAAATGCGCATTCATGTGTTTTCTTGAGATAAATTGATATTTGTGGATCGGGCCGATCGCCTCGGTAGAAATAGATGCATCTATGGTTCGCGCCACTCGACCCTCTGGCAATGCACATTTTATTTTCTGTTGGATCGGGTCGTCGACCTCGGCATGATGTGCGCATGAGACTTATATATTTATATGTGAAAACTTATCCATGACTTGATCTGCTATTACTTAAAATGTGTACGGATAACTGTAAAATTGTTAGGGACATGACTATTACCTCTTGCTGCATGCCGTTGATCTATTTAAACTATCATGCTTAGCAGAACACTTTATTATGTTATTTGACCCTAGTAAGTGTCAAGTCGACATCTCGTCTCTACTGTTTCGAGATTAAACGGGATACTTACTGGGTACATATTGTTTACGTACTCATACTACACTTCTGTACTTAATTGTACAGGATCTGAGGCAGATGTATCTGGCTATCAGTTTGGTGCGCATTCCTGAGCGGACTCGAGACTTCTATGGTGAGCTGCTTCCATTCCACGCCGTTCAGCAGCCTGAAGAAGTCTTTCTTGTGTATTTTGTTGTCTATTCTGTTTCGGACAGTAGGATAGTTTTTATTATTTTGTACATCCTACTAGTTGCCCATTACTTGTGACACTAGGTCTTGGCACACACGTTAGTAGACTATCATTTTAGGGTTGTATAATTATTTTGGCTTATTATTGCTCATTTCTGATTTGACCCGAATTTTATGAATTTCTATACTTACTTTGGGTAAAGGAATAAAACGGGGAACTAAATTTCATTTTCCGCGTTGGCTTGCCCGATAATGGTGTTGGGCGCCATCACGATCTATTTTCGGAAATGGGTCGTGACAATATTTATTATAAACCAAATTATTTTAAAATATTATTTTCTATCACTACCTTTTATATTTTATAGCAAAATAAGTATTTATGGTATATACTACAATTGAGTCATGAAATATGCTATTTATGTTTTTCCTTTCTCTTAGACGGCTGGACATACCTATTTTTAAGGTGATTCCCGTTATTGTATTCATGAATACAGCAACGCAAATACATGTGAATAGATAAGCGTACAGCTGGACTGCCCTGATTTTAGGCGCTTTTTGCTGCCGTACAACAGAGCGAATACATGTGAATACATGCACGTACAGCTGGATTGCCTGATTTTAGGCGCTTTTTGCTGCTGCATTCATGAATACATGACGCGAATACATGTGAATACATGTACGTACAACTCTACTGCCCTGATTTTTAGGCGTTTTTTGCTGTTGTATTCATGAATACAACAGCGCGAATATATTACCGTAACAAATGATAGTAGCTATAGGAAGTAATTATGTATATGATAGCTATAGGATGCTAAAATAACCACTAAACAATAGTAGTTTCTGAAAATTCCTCTAAAGTAAAATACAAGTGCCAAAATCAAGGGGTTGGATTATAACAGATATAGAAAAATAAAACAGGTTATCCACTACGAGATTTGAAAAATATAGTTTCATGTCCTATTTCTTAGTTAATATCTAATTATTATTTATAATTTTATATAAAAGGTATAATTTTTAAGGTTAATTGCACATAATTCAAATAATCCAAATCATTATTTGATATGGTTTATGTCAGCGCATTGCGCGGGAACTAATACTAGTTCAAAATAAAATGCATAACTAATGGCGTTTGAATCTTTTGATTTAAAATTTTGAATAATAAACTACTCTTTGTGAGTCCCACGCCCATAAAAAATTATACGTGATTCATATTATCTTAATATGAATAGTATGTTAATCTCAATTTAAATGAGGAAATAATTTAAATAAGGTAAAACTTCTATTACTTTTAAAATCATAAATATTAAGAGTCTTATATATTTTAAATAAGGAAAGATTTTTAGTAAAATTAAATGACCATCCCTAAATATGAAAAAAATAATTAAAATAATTATTTCTAAATATAAGAGCATTAATTAGAATGATTATTTTGCTGAATGTGAAGGATAAAAAAGGTGAACGACATTTCGCTAAAAGCTTTTGTGCTTTTAATACAGTAGTATAAGTATAATATAGATAGATTAGACCATGTTAATACTCCTACAATCAATATATATATATATATATATATATATATGGAGATTATTTCTCGATGTTACCAACGTTTTGATGGGGGGAAGTGCACAGTTAGCCACTAATTACAAATGTCTTTACTCTCTAGCCACTGTTTAAAATGTAATTGTTCTTTAGCCACTGCTTAATAAATTTTTACCTGCCCGAATGAAAATACCCCTGTGCTAGACATTGGTGCTATGTAAATATTAAGGACATGATATCATTAACTTCATGAATGCCGTGTAAATATTAAGGACAAAGTGTCCTGTATTTGCACCTTCCGTTGTTAAAACTTTAGGACATCATGTTCTTAACTTCATATGTGCAGTGTAAATGTTAAGGACAAAGTGTCCTGTATTTGCACCTTCCGTTGTTAAAACTTTAGGACATCATGTCCTTAACTTCATATGTGCAGTGTAAATGTTAAGGACATGGTATCTTTAACTTCATGTGTGCAGTGTAAGTGTTAAGGACATATGTCCTTAACTTGTATTTGCACCTTCTGTTATTAAACTTTAGGACCTCATGTCCTTAACTTCATATGTGCAGTGTAAATGTTAAGGACATGGTATCCTTAACTTCATGTGTGCAGTGTAAGTGTTAAGGATATATGTCCTTAACTTGTATTTGCACCTTCTGTTATTAAACTTTAGGACCTCATGTCATTGACTTCATATGTGCAGTGTAAATGTTAAGGACATGGTATGACTTAACTTCATGTGTGTGCAGTGTAAGTGTTAAGGACATAGTGTCCTTAACTTTATGAGTGTTGTGTAAATATTAAGGAGGTGTCCTTAACTTCATGAATGCCATGTAAATATTAAGGACAAAGTATCCTGTATTTGCACCTTCCATTGTAGGACATCATGTCCTTAACTTCATATGTGCAGTGTAAATGTTAAGGACATGACGTCCTTAACTTCATGTGTGCAGTGTGAATGTTTAGGATACCATGTCCTTAATATTTATACAACACTCACGAAAAAAAAGGTAAAAATATCTTTCATATTAATTTAAATAGAATAATGACTATTTTGCTCAGTATTAAAAATAAAAACTAAATACCATATTAAAAAGTGGTTATCCCACGCCATTTTTACCGTTTCGCTGGCAGCAAGTATATGTCAAAGTCTTTTAAGTTATGTTGAGGCAAAATTGACGACCAAAGAATACAGAGAGGAAAAAAGTAATAAAAAAATTGAAAAACGGAATACCTTTTCGATAGTGCTGTTATTATTTCCGAAATATCTGTCCCCTTTTTTTCCGATTCTTTTCTCGAAAGACGTTCCTTTTTTCATCGAAGGTAAAACCGAAGTCCTTTTATGTACTGTCGCCGAAATTTTCTCTCTCTTCAATAAACGGCGAAGATTCGATCAGAAGAACGGGGACGACTACTAACTGCAAGGTGAGAAAGAACTATATCTTCAGATTCTAATAGTAGCATCATCAATGGCGGAGTAGTCGAACGGTTTCATCGCCAATTCACCTTACAAAAACGGCGGCGTTTTAACCGGATTTCATTCTCTGTAGTCAGATTCAGTTCTCGAAATTTCCTCTATTGCATCGGAACCCTTGGTCTGTACTGATTTCAGCTTGAAATTTGATGTTACACTTGTCCAGGTGTCAGATTTAAGATAGTTATAGTTGTTCAACTTCATAATTATCAGCGATGGTCCAGTATCTGTCACTTTTACTTGTTTATTGGATTCATTTAGTGTTACTTATATGTTGAAATGTTACAAAATGTTAGATTTTGATGCGATTTATTTGATTCAGCTGCATTGGACTTGGAGTTATTGGGACTCTACTTTGTTATTCAGATTGCTGATTTTAGATGTTGACTTGCTGTTCTGTTGTTGACTTAATTGCTTTATTAGCTGAATGTACTCTCGCAGGAGACATCGACAATTGAAGAAGCAAAGTTTTTCTAAAAGCTTAGTGACATTTTATGAAATTTTGATTTGGGAAAAAAGCTTTATTGATTGAGTAGTACCATGATTCGTGGGAAATCTTTAACTGCACTTATCTTTTTTCTGATGCAGGATGAGTGTTTGATTGCCATTTCTGATTAATTTAAAAACTTAGAAAGTTCAAGCTGACATTTTGATGAACATACTAGAGTAAATAATTGACATGGTAGTTAAACACACTTGCTTGCCCTTGCGAGAAAAAGCCACATTTTTTGCTTTGCCTCTTCACTATTTTTCACAAAGATGACACAAAGTGGGTGAAATAACATAAGAAAGTCGCCTAATCTATGAAGGGACTTTTGCTCACGACTTTCTATGTTAAGGGGGCCTCAACTAAATTTTGCTGGCAATGTTAGTTGGTGAATTACAATATATGGAACTTGGGTTGAGGGTCAAGTTGGTAGTTTTCTTGCATCCTCCGCTTGCAGTGCTCGGGTATCATATGTGGTCCCAAATTAAAGAGTCTCCAGTACTAGATAAAAAGCACCTAAATGGGAGTACTTGGGATAATGGGGTAGAGTAGACCACAAATGCATTGATCTATTTACTATTTTAATTCGTTAGAAAAATTCAATATTTTCCTAAAACAACAATTCTTTTCATTTGCTAATGAATTTTATTATATGTATTACATTATAAAAAACAATTTATTAAATTATTTATACTTTATGTTACTCTTGGTTTAACATGACATCTCTTTGACCAATTTCTCCATCTTTTTGCATTTCAAACTATTAGTTCAAATAACTCGCGTGTTTGCTTTCAAAAATTTGCTGAAGAGTGTTAACCAGAATCTTTCAACTTTTTTTTTTGGTGCAAAAACTGTTCTTGAATAAACCACCAAGAATAAAAAGTTTTTAAATTTTACAAAATTTTTGAATACTTTCAGTTATTGCAAAAATTAAATTTTTTTTTGCCGGAAGGCTATGGTCTAGTGATAAGAGCGCAACTTGTGATGTGTGGGTCAGACGCAAAGTCATGGGTTCAACTTGTGTTGTGTGGGTTAGGCGCAAAGTCATGGGTTCAATCCCTGCCACGCAATGGTCTTAGTATTTATGTGGAGAATGGTAGAGGAATTGGCCCATTAATCATCGGGTTTGAGCGTTCCCCACTGGCCTCGGGGACTTCTAGGTTATAAAGAAATTGAAAAACTTCTCCCTGTTGCTCTTTGGTTGAAAAACAGTTTTTCCTTTTCTTTGCAAAACATGCAATTTTTGTTTAATCCAGAACATGTTTTCCAATATTTTTGAAGCAAATGCCACCTAATATACTAGGCTATTTAAAGATAACTCCTAGTGGGTTTAATGAAAATGTGACACGAAAAATATGTACGTTTCACATAGATGATCTTGTTTTCCTTTTTCAATAGGCTGCCCCAAATGCCTTCTGTCCATTTTATCCTTTTCTAAGACTGGAGTACAAGTCATCCCCAAGTCAACATGTATTCATCGGGAGTCAAAATTACTGTCGAGTCAGTAAAATGAATTCAAACTAGCCCTGCATTTATGAGAACATGGAATGCAATTGAAATTTCCTACTATCCCAACTGAAGAAAAGGGCAATTGTATTTCAAGAAGGCTGAAAATTTTTGTTAACTTATTTGGCAACTTTTTGGGTGCTAGATTTCACTCTCACTCACTCTCTCTCTCTCTCTCTCTCTCTCTCTCTCTTGTGTGTGTATGTCTCTTCTTATTTCAGTTTTCTTGTTTTCATTATCTCCAATCATTTGTTATGGCAGATTGCTTTATCAGTTCTGGAGTTAACTCAGGCCTCAGCATCTAGTGGCAGATTGCTTCTAGCATTCTACTATTTTGGTACTCCACATCATCGTGTATCTGGATTGTACTCAGCCTGAATATTAGCTTATATCTGTGAGCGGTCCCGCGGAATATATTGGCTAGGTTCGTCTGGCTTAATGTTGAAGTGTTAATGAGTAGCACAGGCAGTATTGTGTTTGAAGGTGATCAAGGCAAGTCATTGCAATCGCTGTTGTTGGGTTATAAGACTTGTCAATCTGAGATATAAAAGTCGACTTATTGGATCTGGTGCATTTCAGGAATTTATTTCGTTGAAGTTATTCTTAGGGAAGTTCTTCCCATGAGGTAGCTGGAGCTATAGAATATCTTGTGCTTCACTAGCAAAATGCTATATAATTGGAAGAAGCCTCACATTATTTTCTCTACAGTGCTTGAGGTTGTTTATGTTGCAATATAACTAGCAATTATGGAACAACTATCAGAGAAAAAGTTCCCTGTCAATGCGAAAGATTATAAGTTATATGAAGAAGTTGGAGATGGTGTTAGTGCAACTGTGTATCGGGCTCTGTGCATTCCTCTTAATGAGATTGTTGCAATCAAGGTTCTGGATTTGGAAAAGTGCAACAATGACCTGGTAAGTTTGCTCTTTTTGATTTTACACGTGATGCCATCTAAACATGTCTTTTAGATATATGTTCGATAGCAAACACCCTGGTACTGAATTTACTCAGAACAGTGCAAAGACCTGCTCTTTGATTTTAGATATTTTCTTGTTACCTGGTTATCTTTTGTGAAGTTACTTTTTCTTAAAACAATTGGCAATATTGTAAGAATGTTGCATGACTATACGTATTTGATCCATCTACATAAGGAAGCAAGTCTCCTGGTCCATCTTCTATAGGTACAGACATGTATTAGTCTGTACCAGTGTTGTCAAAGGCTAATTTGAGGCGCGCTTTAGCCCTGAAGCTCAAGAAAGCTGAGGGTATGGCGGTATGCGCTTCACCTCACTTAGGCTGCGCTTCAGTGTAGGCAAGGCACTGAGGTGTGCGCCTCATTGCCTATAAGTTCTATTTTGAATAAAGCAGTACAAAACAATAACTATGATTGGCAAAAAGATATATAAATTGTTGAGGAAATCATTATGAATGAAATTGTCATTGCTTTCTTGCATGACATATATATTTTTATTTTTTTCTTCGTTGCGCCTTTTGTAACTAAAGCCCACACTTCAATTGCGCTTTGCGCTTAAAGCTCGATAGACTTGACCCTTTTTAAACCTTTTGCCTTTGACACACTGGTCTGTACTATTAATAAAGCCCCTACTCCTTTGAGTAAATATCTTGGTCTCTCATCACTACCTTGGTCATGCATTAAAGTTTGTAACAAAATGTACCCAGGTTCTTATTACTAGCTTTAAGGAAGATGGGGCTCAATTGGTCCGTTTTCCTTTACTCTACTTTCTGCAATTCAGCCATCATCTCTCTCTTTTTTTCCTTCTTTTTTTTTCATGAATCTTCCTTAGATTAGTCCATCTTTTAGTAAATAGATTTAATCCAAATTAAATCTGAAAAATCAGAAGTTCTAACTGGAATGCCTTGTGTAGAACGTGACACATGGTTTCTACATTTAAGCAGAATTTACCACATTGTAATCGTGTATCGCCCTGTGAACATTTTATTCATATTGATGGCATCTTCGAAACAATTTCTTTTAAGGAGCATTCTTTGGCCTAAACATATGCTCATTTCAATTGCTGAAACTTCCGGAATGTTTTTGTGGTTGTAGGATGGAATCCGGAGAGAGGTGCAGACCATGATCTTGATTGATCATGCAAATGTATTGCGTGCACACTGCTCCTTCACTGCAGGTCACAGCCTTTGGGTTGTCATGCCATTCATGGCCGGAGGATCTTGCCTTCATATTATGAAATCTTCTTATCCTGATGGTTTTGAGGAGCCTGTAATTGCCACTTTATTGCGCGAGGTCCTCAAAGCCCTTGTATATATTCATTACCATGGACACATCCATAGAGATGTAAAGGTATCACCGTGTTACCTGGTTCTGTGTAATAACAGTTGCATGGCATTCTTACTTCATCCAAAAAAAGAAAGAAAGAAAGAAACAGTTGCATAGCCTTCTTTACTAATTGTTTGCCATTTTTGAAGAAAAGGGGAGGTGATGCCTCCTTTTTGTACATGACCGTGTAGGATTTTCAGCCTCTTTAATATCAAAGTTCTGTATTCTGTCTTACAGCAAATGCAAAAACATGTGGTCTTGATCAAATTTCTTAAGTTTCTCTTCTCTTTGCTCTTCTTTCTCCATTCTTTTTTCCCTGACAATGACATTTTCTTCCTTCATTGTTAATCAAATCGGCGAAGTTAATTTCATGTGGGAATAGTTTTTTAGCTATGTTACTCGGACTCTTCAAAAATGTTGTTGGGTGCGTGTCGGATCCTCCAAATTTAGTGCTTTTTTGGAGGATCCAACACGGGTGCAGCAGCACTTTTGGAGAGTCCTAGCAACATAGGTTTTTAGCTGAAATCATCTGAGCTACTCTCGTTTTGCTGACTCCAGCATGCTTGCTTATGTCAATTTTCAGCTTTAACTCATTATTTTAGTATATGTTCTCTGCAGGCTGGGAATATTTTGATTGATTCCGATGGTGCTGTTAAATTGGCAGATTTTGGAGTTGCAGCTTGCATGTTTGATACTGGTGATAGGCAACGTTCAAGAAATACTTTTGTTGGAACTCCATGCTGGTAAGTTTCCCAGGGCTGTGGTGAGGTGTGGTTTTTATTTGGTAGTGTCATCAGGATAGGCACAGACTCTTTTACTTGTAACTGCAATTCCTTTTTTTTTTGTTTTGTTTTTGAAATCTTGATCAGGATGGCTCCCGAAGTGATGCAGCAACTGCATGGATATGATTTTAAGTAAGTATCTGATCTGCATCATGGTTCTATTGTTGGTTTTAGGTCACCTCCCGTACCTTCTAAAAGTTGTTTCAAATTAACAGAGCAGATATTTGGTCGTTTGGAATAACAGCCCTCGAACTTGCTCATGGTCATGCGCCATTCTCCAAGTACCCACCCATGAAGGTTGATGGATGTTCTTTTGCTATACAAAATAGTCATGGAAGTGTTTCCATGTTTTCCTGGAATTCGTTGTTTTGTGATCCTTTCTTCCTTCATAATTCAGGTTCTGTTGATGACCTTACAGAATGCACCCCCAGGCCTTGACTATGAACGGGACAAGAGATTCTCTAAGGTTTGTTTGTTTGACAAAACTTTTCACTCATATTAAGGTTGGGTCTGAATTTTGGTGCTTTTGCAGTCTTTTAAAGAAATGGTTGCTGCTTGCTTAGTGAAAGATCCAAAGAAGCGTCCATCTTCTGAGAAGCTTTTGAAGCACCCTTTCTTTAAACAAGCACGATCAAATGATTATTTGGCACGTTCAATCCTTGATGGCCTCCCACCTCTAGGTGATCGTTTTAGGATGCTTAAGGTCTTGTGCTCATCTTATACTTTGCTTTTCTAGCTGATGGCAGTTCCCAATTCTGCGGAAGTCATATATGATTCTGAATTTTGCAATTTCAACTGCTCTATCAGGCAAAAGAAGCAGATTATCTCTTACAGAACAAGGCAATGTATGAGGACAAGGATCATTTATCACAGGTAAAAAATGAATGTGCCTGAACTGCAGATCTGAGGGTGCTAGAGAAATATCACGAATTCACGATTCACAAACATATCGCTGTAGCATCATTTTGTGTTTTAGTGCAGGAATTAAGGCATTTTGTCACTCTGGTTTTTTTAACCATTTATTTCGAGTCTTTTTGTTTGTTTATACTCATAACGCTTCAATCTTTTAGAGTATCTAACTTTGTATGTCAAATGAAAACGAAAAAAGTTCCCCGCTAACCCCCNCTCATGTCATTGACTTACATATGTGCAGTGTAAATGTTAAGGACATGGTATGCTTAACTTCATGTGTGCAGTGTAAGTGTTAAGGACATAGTGTCCTTAACTTTATGAGTGTTGTGTAAATATTAAGGAGGTGTCCTTAACTTCATGAATGCCATGTAAATATTAAGGACAAAGTATCCTGTATTTGCACCTTCCATTGTAGGACATCATGTCCTTAACTTCATATGTGCAGTGTAAATGTTAAGGACATGACGTCCTTAACTTCATGTGTGCAGTGTGAATGTTTAGGATACCATGTCCTTAATATTTATACAACACTCACGAAAAAAAAGGTAAAAATATCTTTCATATTAATTTAAATAGAATAATGACTATTTTGCTCAGTATTAAAAATAAAAACTAAATACCATATTAAAAAGTGGTTATCCCACGCCATTTTTACCGTTTCGCTGGCAGCAAGTATATGTCAAAGTCTTTTAAGTTATGTTGAGGCAAAATTGACGACCAAAGAATACAGAGAGGAAAAAAGTAATAAAAAAATTGAAAAACGGAATACCTTTTCGATAGTGCTGTTATTATTTCCGAAATATCTGTCCCCTTTTTTTCCGATTCTTTTCTCGAAAGACGTTCCTTTTTTCATCGAAGGTAAAAC